CATTACCCCTAGGCTAATGACCAAAAATTTTGTAGTGGCGTAAAAAGCTCTCTCTTAGTCTCATGAGCTTAATCTCTCCCTGAGCTCAGGCCAAACAAGCATTTCTTCAGTGTCTGTATTTCCAGAGGTTGCTTTTTCTTAACTCAGGGCCTTTGCATATGTAGTCGAGCCATTCTCTCTTCCCATTTTCTCTTACCTCAGTTTTACCTAGTTAATTCTTCTTACTTCAGATCTTAGCTCATATGTCAGTTTCTCATAAACGTCATTCCTGACCACACCTCCCTCTCCCATCCTGCAAATTAGGTGCAACTATTAAATTATCTCAGAGCGCCTTGTATTTCTTAGTAACATTTAGCACAATTAAAATCACATGGTTAGTTATGTAAGTAAACATCTGCCTTCCCCTCAAGAAGGTCATCTTTGTGAGGGCCAAGGCCTTATCGTGGGTTGCAGATATTTGTGGAGTGAAAGAATGAAAGGCCATTGATACTATGGTCAAATGCTTTACAGAAAGCACTTTTTAAAAAATAATCTTGCTGGTAGGTGAAAATTGGTATCTCATAATTTTAATTAACATTTCTTTGATCGCTGGGGATGTTGAACTTGTGTTTATGTTTATTAGTAATTTGCATTTTCTGAAGATTGTTCTTTGACGATTCTTTATTGAAGTTTCAGGTTCTTGGGTTTTTTATAAAATAAATTCCTTATATGTTAAAAATATTGTATTTATTACTAATGTGTTTCTCAGTTTATTGTTTGCCTTTTAATTTTGCTTCACATTTTTACATTTTTATATACTGTTTCAGTAATATTTTTAATCTTATTTGTTTTATTTAGAAGTTTCTCTTATATTTTGAGAATAGATAAATATTCTAATATTTTCTTCTAATGGCTTAATGGTTTCTTTTTTATATTCACTCTTTATCTGTTCCATATTTATTTTGGTATATGGTATTCACTGACCTTTATTCCAAATAGTTAATATGGAAGTATTAATACCTTTTACTTCAGTACTATTTACTGAATAATCCTTTTTTCTCCAACTTACTTTGAAACCATCTTTATTACATTACTATATTATTATGTATTCCAGCATTAGTTTTAGGGCCATGAATTGAGCTATCAGTTTTGGGGCAAGTAAAGGACTTTAAAAAAAAAAAAAAAAGCTGTTTTAGCAACTGGTATATGTTTTAATGTTTGAAAGAACAACTTATCCCTTCTAATTACTCATCTTTCTCAGTATTTTCTTAGATATTATTTAATTTTATTCCTTTAAATGAATCTTAGAGTTAAATAATGTACTCATGTTAAACAAATCTTGTTGGAATTTTAAATGAAAATTTGTTAAATGCTATAAATTAATTTGGAAAGAATCTACCTTGTGATACTACAATATCTTTCTACATTAGAACATGTTCTCTTCACTTATTAAGTTGATTTTATCTCTCAGTGTAATGATTTAGAGTTTTCATGTAAGTCCACAAATTTCTTAAGATATTGTAAATTTTTTATAGTTGTTATGAGGAATTATTTTAGCCTATTATATTTTTCTAACTAGTTGTGATTGGTGCATAAATAAAAACCATTTATTTTTGTTTGTTTAATTTTTATCCAGCTATTTTTTAGTGTACATTTTTTAAAATTTATTCTTGTGGATTTTATAGGAAGACAGGCTTATAATTTTATAAGCAATGAAAACTCTGTTTCCTTTCTATTGAGTTTATTTCTTTTTTCTGTTTTAGGCCTGGATTAGAATTTTTTGGAATGCTTGAAATAATAGTATTAATAATTAGCATATTTGAATATAATATGCTATCTCTTAGTTTATTTTGGAAGCAGATGACATCACATAGCACTTTGAAACTATTATGGATCGAATTCATTTGATCTTACTCAAATGTCATTTTACTGATATTTGCCACATATGTGCTCAGTGGCAACACTATAACTCAGCTGGTAGTAATTTAGCAAGCAGTTTTAGAAATAACCCTAAACATTTGGAGATAGGGGATGGAGTGATGATCAGAAGTTTTACTTAGTACCCACATTCAGTGCAGTGTTTCTTATTTGTAAAATGGTGAAGCCTAACAAAATGGACAAGTATTTATTTCCCTGCTGTGCAAAAAATATTTTAAGACTCCCTTTTATGAAAGTTAAAAGCAAACTCAATTTAAGCACAATTTCCAAATCCTGAACTCAGTTGAGTTTCTTAATACTTTGACAGTAAGTGGGATAAATGTTGTAGCTGCCTAGGTTACTTCAGTGTTAAATGAAAGAACAATAACAATAAAGTTAGAAAGGAATAATTCCATTGCATAGAATAAATGAAGAAAAACAATTGTACTACCCAGGAAGAAACTGTCATGGTAACAGAATGAAAACAGTACCTTCGGTGCTGCTACTATGGGGAAGGAGTGAAAAGATTCTACTTTGAAATTGCTATGTAAATAAAAACGTCTGTCATTTCCACGCCTTCAATTCATTGCAGTTTTCCCCTGACAGTAACAGTTCTTACATGTAATTTTTGCACTTTTAGATTTTCATTTTTTAAAGTACAGAACTTGCTGTGAAAGAAAACAAAATCCCCTGATGAGGCTGCAGTGTAGACAGGCCTGTGAAAACTGGCCTTAAATGAAAAGTCTTACTCTGTCCACCCCAGGAACAAGTGGCTTAAGTAATGGCTTTAGCATTCAGTTGGATCAGTTAGATTGAACTCTATGAAGTGAAAGCTCACAGGACAGTGTAATGTCTTCAGGCTTACCTGAGAGCTTACTGAAATGATTTAGAAACGACTTCAATTTCCCAGCACCATGCAGCTTTCTTGCCACATTTGTTTCTTAAAAAACTCTACGTACTCCTATGCTGTTATGGCAAATTCTTGATGATGATGTTGATAATATTAAGAGCTTCTACATATTAATGGGTTACTGTGTGCTGCTCCAAGTGCTTCTCAAACATTATCAAATTTAAATAGTTCTTAAATATGCAGATTTTTATCTTTTATATAAATGTACTCTAGTAAAGTTTTCCTGCTTCTCAAAGTCAGGTGACAAGTTGATGAAGTAGGTGAATTAAGATGACTCTTTGACACACACCCTTCCCTCTGCTATTTCTCACATTCTGAG